GGCATTCCTCAGGCTCATCAGAGCCATCTCCACAGTCATCGACAGTGTCACATTTCCACCAAAATGGAATACATTTGTCAGTTTTGCAACGGAACTGTAAAAGGAAGGAAAGTAGGAAGAAAAGCTTTAATATGAACATTTATTCATTTATTTTTAAACAGAAATAGCACAGTTTATGAAAAATCAGATTCACTGCTTAAGTCATTGTTCCATTAACCAACTCCGGCTGTTGATTTTATAAATCTTGTTTTTTAAATATTCTTTTTTTGGAGATGTTTTGCACCAAGACTTCCACTGATACAAATCATTGTTCTTTCAAGACATCGCTACAGTGAGTTACAGTGCCCCTGGTATGAACCACTCTTTACATTTTGCTGCATTCTATGATTTGATCCTTTAAGATCTTATTCAAAACAACCACTTCAATTCATAAACAGTCTTTGTGGGCTGTTGACAGACTTAATATCATTTTTCCACATAAATCAAAACACCCACAGTTACAGAAAAGGGCTTAACATTGTACTTGTATACAGTATTGCTTATATTGTTTGAATTAAATGAGAAAACCAGAAGCTAGGACTTCCAACCTTTCAAAAGGATAAAATATTTATACAAAAAAGAAAAAAAAAATTGTAAGACCTTGGCAATGCCTTCACTCTGAGCTCAGGTAACATTGTACTATTGTTCTGACTGAAAGACGAATACAAACAAAACAGAGTAGAAATTACTTGATGCGGTCTTCTCGGGCTAAACCTAAAATCAGAGTTCATTGTGTGGCTAATGCTAGGGAGAAAAATCTGGATTGATTATCAGCAACTTTTACGAAATGGTGTGTTTCCCACCTCGTGTCTGTATGAGCACAGAAAGGAGGGAAGACAACAGGTTGAGAAGTGCAAGACATTCTAAGTTCTGTGACTAGGCATAATTTTTTAATTTCTTCACATTTCTAAAATCATTGATTATTTAATAAAGCTGTATTTAAAAGGTTTATCCTTTCTGCCAAGAAAATGTAGGCTTTCAGGGTCATTTATGTAGTAGGACCTATAATTTGAGGTACATCATTCTTGTACCCCATTGAGGGACATGCTGTATAACAGGCAACTATTCTAAACTGTGAAACGGTTCCACAAATTCTCACTCTTAGTGTTTTCTATTTGCTAACTTAGCCTTCCCGCTGCTTAATTGTTTTAAGGTGTCAGCCTCGCTCTGCTCACCACAAGGGACTTCAGGCTGTTAAACCTGACATTATGAATTTAAATTCAGGAAATGGGTACTAACCCTTAGATGCTGCTATGCTCTGCATGAAAAAGCTTACGTTCCCTTCTAAATTGGGGAGCCAGACTGTGCAAAATTGGGGGTCAAAGTCATAAGGGTGTGCCTGGAATGGCCTTGAATGACCTGAGTTTTAGTGTTCTAGAGTCTGATGCATTGGGTACCACGCAATTTCTCATGTCAGATTTGCCATCAAAGACAGCTGAAAGTCTGCAGGTATGTAAAACCTATCATCCATCCAACTACTTTTCTACACAAATGGTTAACAGCGGATGTGTTGTCAAGAGCACCGTAGGAACAGCTACGATTTTACAGTGTAATCTGAAAACCTTAAGTTGCAAACTATATTTTTGCCACTGATGTCTGCATCTGATACCATTAGATTGATGAATTATCAAACAGTAAACAGATTTCAAAATTGGAAGAAAATTACTAATAATCAATGTAATTTTGTAACCATCTGTCTGAAGCAGCTTCTTTTATTTAACCCTGCTCTCCTCCTGTGGAAACCAAAACTGAAAAAATATTGCTACGGGAGCATCTAAGATGCTATCCTTTAATTCAGACTGTCAATGAATTATTTAGAAAGGAATAGAGCCACTCGATCAACTGCTAGCATATAAGTTCACTGTGGAATAAGCTTCCAGTGACATTTAAAGAAAATTTAAAGGAAAAAAAAAAGTGCTGGGTTTTTTAATCAGATTTGAGAAGCTAGATATGGAGGGAAAATAGCTAAGAAATCCCTCATTTTGCAAGCATTTTACACTTTCTTTTTGTTCATCACTTAATGGGAGGTAACCAGCAATCTAAACAGAAAAGATATGATGAACAAAATAAATCTCGCCAAACAGTACATTAAGGGAACAGAGGACGACAGTGGAGAGGTTTCCTAAATAACACTATTACTTGAATGAAACGGTACATCGTTTATTAAGATGACCACTGTTCCCTTAAAAATTAAGAGTAAAACCTTTTCCTTAATGAGTACAGACAAGACTCATCACGATGTAGAATGTTGTAAGAGATCATTAGTATACGTATCATAAAATTGGACTACTAGAAAAAATGGACTACCAGAAAGATTTTAAAGGCCATATGTACTGTTAGTATCACCCAACTAATTGTCTGGGTAGAACAGCCTTAAGACTTTGATAAAAGTAGTTCTTTTATAAGAAATCAGTATGTTCTACTCAATCTACCTTATATTTTAACAAAAAAAATCACCGAATACTTATTTCAAGTACTAAGGAATCCACCTCCCATAAAGAATTCAATGTTCTAACTGCTTCAATTGTTAATTAATTGCGCACTCTACCACTTTCATTTCAGCTACTGTATTGTCTTTAATTTAACCCTACCTAGCTAACTGGACTGAGCTCATTTTTTTGTATTAATGTAAAGTTCATTCATGCATGAATAGCCCCAAATCATTGCTCTATACACTTTGTATTTTTATGTTTCGCATTTTATATAAATGTTTTTTCAAAGCAATTTTTATGGTTTTAATAGCTGTATTTGTTCTAGTGACTGGCAGAAACATCCACATTTGAAAGGGAACAAGTTCTGCATTCTCAGGAAAAAAGGCATTTACAAGTCCATTTTCAACTAATAGCCTTGAAGATGAAACGCTTTAAATGCACCCATGAGTTACCTAGTCTTCAGCTCTTTTGACTGATGCTTCCACGTTTCATGGGCACCAGCATTCATTACTTAAAAGCAAGTGGAAACACAGTAAAATATAATCCCCAAGCGTCCTCCCCCCATACATATGCACTTACCTGACTGGCAGTGCAGTTTGATAAGCACGTCTTGTTATCCGCAGCAAGGTAAAAGTTAGTGGGACAGGCACAAGTATACATCTTGTCAGGTGCGAGAAGGCATAAATGACTGCAGCCACCGTTGTTTACCGTGCACAGATGTTTAGACACTGTGGACAGAATAGAAAAAGAATTATCAGACCCTATTATTTCAGTATACTTCAGGGTATCTGCTTTATAGAGGAAGAAAAATGTATTATGCATACTATTTTTACAATGGAATGTCTCAAATCAAAAAACCGTAAGAGGCAACCTTTTCCTTTTGCCTTCAAGCTATTCTTCTCTTTTGCACGCAAAAATTAATTATTATTATGGATATAGATTCAATACTGAAAGAATGAGAGGAAGAAAAAAGCACTAGGGTTTTTTTTAATAATGAGACAAAAATTTAGCTTATCTAGGTCAAGTGCCAAATTGTGCTCATTTACAATTCAAATACAGGGGCACCAGGAGATCAGACACAATCATGACGCCTACATTCTCTGACATTCCCTCAGTCCAAAAAGTTTCTAAATAACAGTATTCTTCTGTATTATTAACACTCTCTTATTTTTCAAATAATAAGGTTAAATGTTTTCATAACACACTGTTCCCGTCTTGATAACTGGTAACTTGCACTGTAAAGCAACTTAGCAGTTCTGTACTTCAGTCAGTATCTGGGTTAATTTTTAAGCACCCAAACTGGGATCTCACCAGTGAACAAGATATATCATATTTATTTAATACCGATATAATTGGAACATTAATCACAGACTTATGTTTAAGAACGCTAATTTCAAAACTTCTACAATTTGACACAAACCAGAAATAAAAATAAATCACTGCAGATAAACGAGCTGCCATTAACTCAGCAACCGGCTTCTAAGTGAAATACATCAATGTGCTGTATGGAAAGCATAGACAGAATAATTACCGTCAGGTTGCCTGTAAGAATGGTACACCTGGATGTCTGTTATGGTATGCCACGAGTTAATCAGTGATAGTCTGTCTGATCCAGAGGTTTTGTGGGCACGGCTGAGTGATTTGGTTTTCCCGTCTGTCCAGTAGATGTAGTCTTCAAACAATGTTAGTGCAATCACCCCTGGAATATCTTGATTAGGGACTGTAAGAAGAGATGCTAAGATTAATGTTCGCTCTTGGAAGTCTGCCAGTTAAAATATTCCATACTGCATGAGTTGACAGATACAACTGCTATATAATGTCTTGAGAATAATTGTCATGACAATATGTCAAGCCTAGAGGGTTCTTTATTACCAGTTACGATAAAGATGGATGGGGTGCGAGCTCTGCTTGCTTAGAATTAGTTGGCCCAATCAGTGTTAAGGAAATGAAAGAATTTCAGTTAACAAAAATCACCTCCACATTCTAAATCAATGACATGTCAAGTTTTAAAGTATTAAATAACATAAAAATAACTTAAGCTACTCTTTACAGAAGGCCAATATTAATTTGCAGTCTTAGGGGAATAAAAGTTATTACAAAACATCCAAAATGTAAGGTATACATCTCCAGATGCACGTGTTTAAGGCAATTAATAGTATTGCCCTTTAAGGCAATTAATAGTATTTTAGTTTAGCAAAATATTCTGACAAGAGAGACAGGGAAACAAAAAGTTTTGCATTAAAATAAACATAGCAGTAAGAGGGCTTATTGCTTAACTCCTAGCATAACCAACCATACAATTTAAAAAAAGACACAAGGTGATGATAACACCCATTGTTACAACATCATAAGATTATGAATCAACATCATTTAAAAAAAGGATGGAAGGACAAAAGGGAGAAAAAGCTTTGGAACATCTTTTATTCTACTGTACACTCTTTAATTTTGAACTATGTGTTCTTGGTAAACAAACTGAACACCACTTTTTTTTTTTTTTTTTTGGTGTGTGTGTGTGTGTATGTATTTAGCTGTGGTCAGGAGAATATCTGACTGCAATGGTCAATTTGTAAATTATAATCTTTTATTGTTGAATTACTCTAACAACTGATAGAACTGAAAAGGTAAATCAGAGCTGCCGAGACTGCCAGTTTTAACCAGTACATCCTTAACACCTTTACCTTGTTTTCTTAGATGAAAATAGCTTCATCTTTCTACCTGGAGCATGTTTAAATAGAGTTGGAAGATTTCAAATTCCAGCTGGGACATTCCATAGTTTACTGACAACTGATGACCGATACTGGGTATATGGAATGACAAGTCAGCAAATTCACTTTTGTATACAATAATCTTGCCTTCTGGTGAAGGAAACCTCCCTTCTTGTATGTTTACATATACCATACCCATCATACTCTCACAATTTCCCTTATTTGTAGAGTCACATTGTGAAAAGGAAATCTACAAACTAGCAGTGAATCCCTCTCCCTGGCGATTGTTGCTATCCTGTTCCTCTGAGCGAGGAAGGAAAGAATTCAAGTACCGTAACTTTCAGTTTTTCCCCCAAAGTAACAAACCAAGTACAAAAAAGCAAGAATACAGAAATTATAAGTACAGGTATTTCCATTATACTGTTTCTTTTTCCTCTTTCCTCTTCTTCCTCATTTTCTCACCACTGGATTTATCAGAATAAATTGCAAGAAAAACCTCCTAGCTTCAGGAAAACACCCAAAGGCTACAGCAGGGTTTGTCTGTCCATTGGAAGACCTTTATGTATTGTCATCTAAGCATATCAACTACTCGCATATTAATTTTATCCCCACTCTGCTCTGGAATGAACATATTTTTATGTTCTTTTGCTTAACATGGATGACTTTTCTTGAATCTTCTTGAGAGATTCCTTAAGCTCTGCATATATCTTTGATAACGATGAATTCAACTTTATACTGTTCCAGAAAAGGTATGTATCTCTAAATTTAATTTGAAAAACCAAATGATCTTTAAAATGCTTTAGTATAATTATTAATTAGGAATAGTAATTGTAATATCTTATGCTTGCCACCCAATTACTGTAATTAATTAAGGAAGCATAGAATTTAGAGATTCATGTCATTTAGAAAAAGGAAATTATAATTCTTAATTATTTCAAAATTGTTAATTCATCAAGATCTGTGTACGTGCATGCTCTGTAAAAGACACACCTTTTGGTTTGAATCACTATCCCATATTTCAGCAGATCTCTGAAAAACCAAACTCATTCTGACTTCCTCTGTTGCCACTCTCTCCAGTTAGTTACTTCATTGAATTTAAGTCATTTAACTGCTTTACTGTGCTATTATATTTACTGTGGGATTTTGACTACATCTGGGCACAATCCACTGTGCCGTCTTTATATATGGAGACTTAGGAATATTAAACTCAGCACGTTTTATTTTAGGTTGTGGTGGGTTGACCCTGGCTGAGGG